GAACATTTTTTCATATATTCACCTTTTGTATTTCTTCATCTGAGAAGCATGTATTCATCTCAGCCGCCCATTTTTGATTGTGGGGTCCTGATTTTGAAAATTTTTTTATATGTTCTAGGTAGAAGCCCTTTGTCTGAGGGACATTTGGCCACAATTTTTTCCCAAGTAGTGGTTTTGTTTTTCTTTTTTACTCTGTTAGTGCTTTTTTTTTTACATACAGAAATTTCAAAAAGATGAGATCCTAACTGTTGATTCTTTGGAGTATTTCCTGGGCAGTTTTGTCTTTTATTATGATCTATCTACCTACCCCTGTCTTCAAGATTTCTACCTACTTTCTCCTCCAGTAGATTTAGTGTTTCTATTTTAATATTTAAATCTTTGATGCCTTTTAACTTTAATGCATGATAATAGACATGGGTCTAATCTTGGCCTTCAGCTTGTGAAAAGCCAGTTCTTCCAGCACCATTTATTATAAAGGCTTTGTCAAGGAAAAGGTGGCTGAGTGTGTTTGGAGTTGTGTCTGTGCATCCTCTAACCTGTTCCACTGATCCTCAGGTCTGTTGCTTTGCCAGTACCATGCTGATTTTATCACAGCTGCTTTGCAGTATAATTTCAAATCAGGGATTGTGATGCCTCCTGATTTCCTTCATTGCCCAGGATTACTTTTGCTATTCTAGGTCTCTGCTGGTTCCAGATGAATTTTAGGGATGTTTTCTCTAGTTCTGTGAAGTATACTAATGGTATTTCAATTGGCATTGCACTGAATCTGTGTAGCAATTTTGGGAGTAGGGTCATTTTCACAATGTTGGTTCTTCCTATCCATGAGCAAGGAATGCCTTTCCACTTTTTGAAATCCTCTTTGATCTCTTTTTTTTTTCCACAGTACTGTAATTTTCATTGTATAGATCCTTTATTTCCTTCATTAGATTGACTCCAAAGTGTTTCAATTTTTTAGATGCTTTTGTGAAAGGTGTGAATTCCTTAACTTCTCTATAGGTGTGCTTGCTGTTTGTGTACAGAAATGCTATTGATTTCTGAGTGTTAACTTTGTATCCAAAGTCGACGTTTATTTTGTTGTGCCATAATGTCGGCATTAAAGGATTTCTTTACTTTAGAGCTACGAACTTTGTGGGAGTTAAATACCCTGACTCTTGTCAAGCATAACTCTATATCAGCTTGGCTAGGAATCCTTTCTTGGAGAAAAATGAGGCTGCACAACAATCTTTTCAAGATGCAGAATGTAACCTTTCTGGAATTGAGATAATCACAGGTATAAATAGTTTGCATGCATCTGAAGGGACAAGGCAAAATATCAACACAGAGGTGCTGTTGTTACAACAGACAGGTTGGTTCAAAGGTCCCCAAACAAATCTTTATGCATCTCTTAAACTTCTGCTGCAGTTTTGATGTTGCTATGGGTTGTCCATGGAGCACCAAGATCTTAGCTCGGCTAGTGTTGCTCAGATGAGTTCTAGCTTGCTGGGAGAGATTGATTACTGTGATGCCAGTCCAAAACATTAGCGGTTGGGGTTTTAAGGCTCTAGGGAAGTGAGTGGTGACTCCACTTAGAGAGCTGATTGATTCTAACTGCTGCCTTATAAAGGAGCCAGGGGATGAATGCAAATGGACTTTAGAGGGCAGTGAACAAAGCTAGGAACAGATCTAGAAATGCAGAGGGAGAAGAGCTAGGACAAGACCCGTGGTGTTTTATGGGGGTGTGGTTGGTGACAGGGTGAATGCATGAGTAGTGAAGACCATTATGTAATTCAGAACCTCTGAAGCAAGGGGGAGAGTGGGAGAGGAGCAGGAGAGGATGACAGAGAGAGAGAGAGACAGACAGACAGACAGACAGACAGACAAACAGAGAAAGATTCTGTAGGAATGATATGTGTGGGACTTTCTATGTTGGTCACTGGGTTATGAACTCTCATATACACTTCTGTCTTTGATTAAATGAAACTATGTAATTTTATATGTTTTGTTTGTTTGTTTGTTTGTTTGTTTTGGTGGTACAGTGCATTGAGCCCACGGTCTCAATTTGCCAGATAAGCACTCTATCACTTACCTCATCCCAGCCCCAAACAATGTCATTTTAAAATAATTTATAAGAGCATATTGGCACACTGCTACTGCCTTTATTAGCCTATGAAGAAATGGGGAATCCTGGGGATTTCTGAATTCCTTGTCAGGGAGATTTTTAAGCACAGGGAATATGTGGAGGGAATTTTTTCATCCTTTCCTATTCAAACACAGGGATTACAGTTTCACCACATGTTTTAGTCAGTGGTCACTGTGCTGGTTTATTTGCATTAGGCACGTTAATAGCATCCAGGTGCTGGCAAGACCTCAGCAAAGCAAGGAAAGCGAAGTCTCTGGTGAGAGCAGCGGGGATAGCTTTGCTGAGTAAAAGGCCTGCATCCCTCCTCCACGTCAGGAAGCTCTGCTGGGTGAGGCGGGGGCTGTAGAGGCCTCGTGCTTTATCTTTCTGCCTTCTGCTTGTTTGTCCTTCACAGCTGTGATGAGGGATACACGGGGGCTCGGTGCGAAAGAGTTGACCTGTTCTACCAGCGAGGAGGCAGAGGACAGATTTTGGTGATTTGTTTAATAGTGGTGATGGTCATTTTTATCATTTTGGTCATCGGTGTCTGCACATGCTGCCAGTAAGTATTTTTAGACTTAGTTTTCATTACATTTGGGAAACTGTTTTGCTTTGCTTACTGCTTTCCTTTCCACCTTCTCTTCCCCTTCTGCTTTGAACAAATCCTCATTTTGAGATTTGTTATCATTAACGAAGCATTTCTAATAAAACACATAGAAATTTTATCATCTTAAATTATGATTTAAAACAGAACTGGTATAACTCAGCTGCACCTAATGATTTAGTCTTCAAGTCAGGGGCATTTTGTATTTGTTACTAGGCTAACTAAGATTTTCATTTCCTAAAATGTGCTCTGACACAAAAACATTGAAAAAATATACACAAATGGAAGCATTTGTTCTAGGTTAACCACATTAATAATTAATTTTATGTATAAATGATGGTTACATCCTCCTCCCTTGGTTTCACATATAACAGCCCTATAACCCAGAAAAGCCTTGCTTTTCCTTTGAGGAGGAGTGGCATGATATACTTCCCAAGGAAGCCAGTTTCTTTCTTCAGTCCCAGAAGACACATCCCACGGTATGTGGCAAAGGCACCTGGGAAAGTCTGCTTTCCTGCCCTCAGGAGCCAGCCTAGGCTCTCCTGTTGTTGTTTTCTTTTCCAGGGTATCAGCCTTCACTGCTCCTGTTAAGGCAGCACTTGAGACAGGAACAAGGGCAGGCAGGTATGGGGAAGAAGGAAGGGGAGAAGTTAACCCAGTCTTCTTGACAGACAACATGACTCTTCCCTCTCAGAGAAGTCCCAAAAAGCTGCTCAAAGACTATAACTAATAAACAAATTCAGTAAAATAATCGAGTGTAAAATAATACACAAAAAACAAAATATCATTCCTATATACCCACCACAGTCCCATCAAGAAAGAAATCAGGAAAATAAGCTCATTCACAATAACTTCAAAAGAAATTGAATACTAGGAAGAGGATAAATGGTTCAGAGAAATAGGCTATTTGGTAACATTCTAGGCAACACTTACAGGAAAATGGAAAATAATGCGGAATACAATATTCAACTATTTTTATGAATTAAGGTGTTTTGCTGCTTAATTAATATATGCAGAGGCTGCTATCACTCTCTTGTTTTATTTTTTAATGCTTATTTCCAGTTCCTACTGTTTTTTTCTTTATACTCTAAATAACACTTTTTTTTGACTTTATAAAATGACATGGGCTGGAAAATCGGCTTGGACTTTAAAAAATCCTCCATCAACCATGAGCTATGTAGTCCTCCCGTTAGGAGAAGAGAAAACCATGTGTAGGAACACTATTCACACTGTTGCTTGCTGTAGCTATCAGTGGAACCTACAAAGAAAACCAAAATGTTTAAGAAAAAAGGAATTCAGTACATTTTTAACAGTTTAGAAATATGATCACAGGCTTTCTTGTTGAATCATGTTATATTTTCTTTAATTAAAAGGCCCAGGTTAATTTCTAACATGTTATTTTCTCAGTCCTCTTCGGAAACATCATAAAAAAAGGAAGAAAGAAGAAGAAAGGGAAGCTTTTGGTAAAGACGTGACTCCTACACACGAAGACATTGAAGAGACTAATATCGCTTAGCAGTAAGTATGCTGGACTTGCTAGACGGGAAACTGTCCAGATGACTGCTCAAGTGGTGAGATGGTCCAATGACCATTGGCTGAAATTTGCTTGAGCTTTAAAACATTTAAAAATACCTTTTCTTCCCATAGAATTGGAACCCAAATAAGGACTTTGTCATGTGTTTTTTCTCTATGTAACCAGAATGTCACAAGTTTCTTCTGCATGCTTTCTACTTTTGCCTGAGGTTGTGGCTATTTTGTTCTTTCATTCTCCTTTGAAGAGCAATAGGTGAAGGATTTTCACTTACCATAAGCATGGGGTGCTGGGGTAGTTTTCACCCCGAACCTGGAGGTGCTGTGGATAAGCCCCCTCCAAGCAGGAGCTGCACCTGTGACAGGAACAATCATCACTGGGGCCTGTCCATGGATGGAGGAGGAAATAGTGAAACATCCTCTCCTTGTCAGCCTTCAGAACTCTAGCAGGTGCCCCCAATAGGAAGCCCAACCAGAAGCTGAAGGCAGGGACCCAGTGGTGTGATCTGCAGTAGTCAGCAGAGTGGGACACACAGGCTGCAGGGTACAGAGTGGCAGGACCAGGTAGCTCAGCGTTGGTGGTGGTCACATGGAGCCTAGCTCAGACTGGCTCTGAACCATGTGCAGGTACCTGAAGCGGCAGCCCAGAGATGAAGCAGGCCTTGCCCTTGCTCAGACCAGAGACCTACACTGAAGCAGACGACTTTGTCTTCCTGTTCAGCCAGCATGATGGAGCAGTAGCTTCCCCAGCAGTCTCTGCAGGACCATCTCTTGTCCCTGGAAGCCACCAGCTTCCTGGGTACAACACTGTAAATGCCTGTGCAGGAATCTCCTCCCTCATTATAAAGACATTCTAGTGCTGCTCTGACTTCTTTGCTACTATTGCTCCTGCACGGTATATTTCTTTAAGTGCTGCTCTCACTCCTTCACTCACAGGCACGAAGACTCCTGGCTGGTCCGAGCTACACACTGCCTTGCTGCTTTGAAAACAGACAGAACGTGTCTCAGGAAAACAACTCAGAAATGAACTTTATATATGTATTTACTTTTTATTTCAACTTTGGTTTGTGTTGTTTATTGTTGTTTTTAAAAATAATAATAATAATAATTTAATTATAGTCCACTAATTGGGAAAAAGCGCTGGGGAGGAAATAAAAAGAAGGGATGTGCCAGTAAATTTCCACTCGTCTTATCATCAGGATTATTAGTCAATTAAAAAATAGTGGGAAGGAGCTTAGATCTTAGGAGATTAATTTATACTGAAGCTAACGTTTCCATGCACCATGTGCTGTGTGCTAAGTGTTTGAAATATATTATTTCATTTGGTCCTTCCAGCAATCTGTGTGAAAGCCTCTGTGACTCTCATTTCCCAAACAGGGAAAAAGGCCCAGAGCAGATGCATAATCTGGTCTAGCTCTAGAGAGTTAGGGGTCACTGGGGCTGGAATCAAAACTAAGTCTCACCCCAGTTGGAAGTCACTGCTCTTCATTACCCTCTTGGTTGATCTGGTTGGCATCACCTAAGTCGACAGCATAGGTCAGGATTTCCTGGTGCGCCTGTGTCCCTGACCATGAAGGCCACATCCTGCAAGGACACAGGCACAGAGCCCCAGCCAGGCTGGGTGTGACCACTGTGTCTTTCACAGAGGCGACTTTTCTTAGCTGTCTCTTCTTCTCTATAATGTTTCAGTAATATGAATGAATCCATAGGTTACCAAAGCCAACAGAGTGTTTCCACCGTGAGAGTAATGAGCAGAGCTGGGAAAGCAGTTACCTGGAGGCCTTCAGGTCCTGCTGAAGTACTGGCGCTCTGCAGAGAGCACAGACAGCCCTAGCAGAGGCTATACATGGTGGTGACAGCACCGCTGGCCTCAGTCAGCCCCTAGTTTTGTGTGCACACCCTCACTTCTGGTTCTTCACAGCAGCACATGGAGGAGCACTCTCAGGAGATGTAGGGGGCAGTGATTTCATGGCTGTAGCATCCTTGATGAAAGATTAATTGATCACCTCATCAATTCTGCCAGATGCCCCTTCAGTCTCCTGGCTTACTTAGTAAAGACTGTATTATCCCTGAAAAGGTGAAATCTAAATTTAGTCAGTATTCCCTAAGATCCTGGACTCTACAATGATTGAGTGAGTCACTTATGAACACCAGTGAAAGGTGCCTTGAGATTGCTGAAGTCTGTGCCCATCGGCCAGGTGAAACCTTCTTCCAAGCCCCTGTATACTTTACAACATGGGTTCTGAGCCAATGTGAAGCTGAACGGTCACACTGAAGCCCAGTTGCACATCTCCTTGTCCCATGCATGACTGCTCTGAGTGTCACATGCGATGCAGAAAACCCTGGCTACCAGCAAAGGGCACAGTCACATGACCGGTGACATTTGACCTCAATTATTTGTCCTTCCAACTTAACTTTCCTTCCACCCTTGAAGCAGGATGGTACTCAGCTGATTAGTGTGAAATAAGTTTTATTTCCAAAGTTTCCTGTGGGTTCCTTTTGTCTCCGTTCCTCTTCAGTCTTCTTTGATATCAAAAGGGCTTGAGAAAAAGGCCCTCAGAGCAGATAGAAACATGAAGCCAGTGCAGAATGTTTCTGCTGACTGAGATCAGCAGACCAATGGAGTTGGTCTGGCTGGCTCAGGCTGGGGAAGGTTGCTTTGATTCTACCACTTTAATGCTGCCTTTTGAAATTCTGATCTCAACAAAAAATTTCAAAGACTTCCATTTCTTTTGAAAATATGTCTTATAACTTTTTTGCATATATTAAATGACTGCTTATGTAAACTATCCATGTTATGTCATAAAATAAATTTATTTTTAAAACAAAGCATATATATTTTTACTTGGGCATTTTCTATAGGTACCATTAATTGCTAATAGAAATAAAAAACTATTGCTTTAAAAACATACTTGATAGAAACTATTCACTAATGCATTTGAAATGGTCCATACTGACTGCATTTTGCTTAAAAACAAAAGTCCAGAGAAACCTGGTGCACACCACCTGCTGCATCTCCGTTCTCTGGACCTGGTGTTGAGCTCCCCTCCCGCTGTGTGGTGGGCCTGAGGAAAGCACCTCGTAGACCAGCCAGTTGGAGTCCTCCTGAGAAAACTGGAACTTGAGTTGAAAACCGCCTTCTTTGGATTCCTGAAATACAAAATGTGCTTTTGAAGCTATTGATGTTTTGTTTCCTCTGGACCATGAAAGGCAAGGAACTTGATCACCAGAGAGAAAGGAAAGCTGTGGGCAAACACTCAGTGGAGGTGGGATGGGATGTACATCTTTCAAAGCCTGTGTCCTGGTCTACAGCACCCTCGGGGATGAGCCTTATGGCTGTCCCTGGATTTTTATGAGACTTATTCCCATCTGTATTCTTGGCTTGAACTACTTCTCCCCACCTGGAACCAGGGTCATGATTGGCTCAGGTGGATTCTGAGATTGTGGGAGTTTCTTAATCAGAAATGATGTCTTCTGTGGAATCAGAGAGCGAACTGCTGTTGTTGCACAGTGCTGGAGTTCTATTCGAGGAACACACCTAGCAATGAAACTCATTTTTTTTTAACCACACAGTCATTTATGGGAGCACAGAGAGGAAACAGATTTAGTAGCATTGACTTGCACCAGAGAGGAGCCAGACCCAGCCTTCAGGAGCTGATGGGGGACCAGCTGTGCACAGATCAGTTCAGTATAGACTGGTGTGGCGATGGCTGGTTTCAGGTGCCCACTTACACAGATTAAGGAGTACAGGAGCTCAGTGTTGAATTATTTGGTGTATGTCCTTCTGGGGAAACTGGTCTGTGAGGGAGGGCTCCCTGCTCAGGGGCCCGGAGAGAATATATTCAGAAAGGGGCTGGCCTCTCCTCTGTAAGGGACTTCTTTTCTGCTCTCTTGGACCTCTGAACTTCAGGTTTTGGGGTCTTTGAATCCCAAGATTTATAATGGCAGCTTGCAGATTCTCAGGCTCTCATCCTCTCACTGGAAGCTGTACCATTAGTTCCTCCGGTGGTGAGACCTGTGGGCCTGGACTGTGCCACACTGTTAGTAGCCTCGGGTCTCCTACCTCCAAAGGGGCTGTGGAGGGATGCTTCAGGCCACTTGGTGATGTGAGATGATTCCCCTCAGGAGCCCCCTCTTGGATGGCTGTGTACACTTCCTGTTGTGTCACCTTGGAGAAGCCTGCCTGATACAGGTGCTCTGGGAGAGGCTCAGGAAGGAGGAGGACGTGGTCGGTAGAGAGGACTGGATGCTCCTAGGGGACATCACACCTGGACTGATGACAGGCTCTGAGAACTAAGCATCTTTGCCCCAAGTTCTGTACAAATGCCACTAGTTGTCAAGTCCTTATTTGAAAAAACAAAAACAAACAAACAAAAAGCAAACTCCAGCAGCAGAAGGGCCAGTGGGCACTGCCACAAGGGAAATGAGGAAGGGGGTGGGCATTAGGGGCTTAGCGTCTCATTCAAGGCACCCCAGGTATGGCAGGCAGGGCCTGTGGGTGTAGAGCTGGTGGGGAGACACTCTGGTGTTGCATGTTTCCATAATAGATTGAGTTAAACCTTTTTTTCCTGCAGCGAGTTTTCTAGGCCTTTCAAATTTCCCTGTGAATGAGCTTTTATTTTCTCTTTCATCGTCTGTGGTCAGAGCAAGTTACATGGAGATTGAAGTAAAATGTTACAAATCACATAATTCAGTATTTAAACAAGACTAAGTTGGTGCAGTTTTGTGAAGGAGGTCAAGGGCATATGTCAGTGTCTATGGCCTGCCTTACTGTCAGGACACACTGCCTTCAGAAGACCACTTTCATTCTATTCTGTGCTTGATGGTCAAGATAGGCTGGACATGTTGGGGTGCTGCTACCTGTTCATTCACTCATAGGCAAGTATGAGGTGCTCATTAGGTGCTCATCAAGTGCCAGATGCTTTAGTTCTTGAGACTAAACCAGTTACATAAAGCATTTTAAAGAAAATGCTGTTGTAGAACATAGCTTCCTGTGGACCTAATCTTCATAGCATAGAAGTTAAAATAAGACACATTCAAGAAGTTGTGTTACCTCAATGACATGGCCATCAAGATAAAGAGTTGTCTGGAACCACATGAGACGATCTCTCACAAAAGAAGAACCCACAGAATATCGGGAGTTATGACTTCTTCTTGACCCTGAATGATGTGCATATTTTAGTAATGACTAGTAAGAGCACAAAAAGTATAGCTATGCTTCTTTTGTGTAAAATCTTTGACTATGTTTCTGTTGGCAAGGCCTGATGAATATTGGTGCTATCCTGGCATCTGTTCTTCAAAGATTGCTCTGTGCTTTGAGCACTTCCTGCAGAACAGGACTTGCAAAAAAAGCCCAGGCTGTTCTTTTGCCATTGCTACTGCATGCTGGGAATGTATCTCCTAGTAACACTAAGAAGGCTCTTCTCTAAACCTCTCATTCTTCCCTGGCATCCATCAGCTTTTGGTGCTTGGAATTCTTCATTAGAAACATATATACGTGGTGTAACTTCATAAACAGTACCAGTAGTTATTGTTCAAGAGGTAAACAGTGAGAATTGCTATGAAGAATTTCAAAATGTGGATTTTAAGATGTGTTTAATAATAATTATGATCAGTACTTGTGTTCTAAAAAAAGTTAGCCAAACATATTTTTAAAGGACTTTTTCCTGCATGTTTTATAATGCTCGCCAAATTTAAATTACATGCATAAATAAAATACAACTGAAGCATTTAAGAAGCTTGCTTCCTTTGAAACAAACGTAATTCTTCTCAAACACAAAACTCCTTACTTCTGCCCACGGTGTCCACAGAATAACTGTGACCCGAGGTGGACAATGATGTGCGGTGAGATGATGTTAGTGAAAAAAGTAACAAGAAACTATCTGATTTGCCCTCTGAAGCCATTTTTTCAAGACTGTAATGTATACACCAATTAAGAGGAACCTCTTGCTAGTATATACTTTTTCACCCCCTGGGAACATTGATTTTCACTCAGTGAACCAGAACTAGCAACCCTAAAAGTCATCTAATAGTGGTTTTTGTATGGTTGGCTTTTATTTGTTTTACTCCTAAAGATAATCTAAATTTTGAATACCATGCTGGCACACCTTTAGCTCCTTATTCCAACTGGATTTTAAAATACCTCAACTTTGGACCAAATGAGTGCTCCCAATTATTACAGAAATGCACTGGGCATGGGGGAACCCGCCTCTCAGTTTTACGATACAAAGCTTACGAGCATGGTATCCGTATTCAGACAGAGCTGGACTTTAGCCCAGGTCACCTACCTGACTGTGGGCCCTGGCCTGCTCAAGAAGTGAAACTGAATAATCAGAGAAGTGAGGTAAGAGGATTAAATGAGATAATGACCACAGAAGGCCCAGCCTGGTACTGGTACTGGGTACTGCCTAGACACAAGACCGATCAGTGTTGCCTTAATGTCCCTCAGCCAGTGTCAGTAGTGACAGTGGGGATACCAAGGAGTATGACGTGCTGTCCACAAGAAATTCTTACGCAGAAGTTGAGTCATGATACTGACACAGAGAAAAGTCTGTTCTGAAGGATTCATGATCCCTATGAAAGGACGTGTTTATCCCAGAAGAATAGGCCATGTGTAGGGGAGGAATTCTATCTCAAGGACCAGTTCCTAAAACATCCCTCTTTCATATTTCTACCTTCTTCCCATCTCTCTTACCTTTACCTCCCAGAAGAGCAACCAATGAGAACAATGAAGAGAAACTATTGAAGATAACCAAAGGCTGAGGTTGAGGTATGTTAGATACTGTTGTACGTTCAGCACCAAGAGTGGTTTTGAGAACAGGCTGGGTGGGGCCTTGACACAATCCTCCTGTTGCAGTTGTTCACAGGGAGCCTGCATGGTGAGCACCAGTGCCACTCTCAGGCGACAAAGGAGCTCAGGTCAAAGGTCAGGCTGCTTGTGCAGCATCCTTGTCACCTTTACTTTGTATCTGATTTTTCTCTCCAACTCTGAAAGCCCTGAAACAAAAGTGCATGAAATGTTCTGAGGAGTGGACAGTGTATTGTTTTGAACTCCATAGACTCTCTTAATAAAGGACTACTCGAATGATACAGTACATACATCTTTGAAATAATTTTAAAAGTGAAAAACAGGACAGAAATAAAATCTGAGAACTTCGCAGCAAGCTACAAACTTCTTGCTTTGCTTAATTCAACCTTAGGCTTAGCAGGCTCAGCTCTCTTTTCTTAAATCTAATGAAATATCTGAGAGTCTGAAAAAAAGGATGCTGAGCTTAACGTTGCTGTGTGCAGATTAACTAGAGATAGCCAACCTGGTGGGGCAGGAACATTTCTAGACAACAAGAACATGAAGAAGGAAGCAGTGGAGGAATCACTTGCTCCCAAAGCTTTGCAAATGAATGCAGTTAGAGTTTTTATTGACAAACAAAATTAACTCTACATAGTTGGGTCCACTGAATTCAATGTGACTTCATTAGTTTAGATTCTATCAATCTGGAATTTGTCATTATCAGGCATGGATTAGACAAATGTTTGTTTATGAAATAGTAATTTTCAAAATATCACAGGGGCAGTGTTAACCACTTGTTGATCAATTATTCAAACACAGGATGACCAAAAATTGGATTCTCTTATTATTATTATTTTTTTAATGTCAGGGCTGGTGCCACATGTGGTGCTGGGGATGTAACCCTGGTCACTGCATCTGCGTAAGCAGGCACTTAGTTTACTAAGCTCTCTTGTCAGTCCTCTTTCATTAATTTTTATA